CCCGCCTCGCCCCGCGCCCGCGCCCGCCGCGCCCCCATGGCGGAGCTCAGCACCTCCTTCGTCAGGGACTTCCTGGCCGGGGGCATCACCGCTGCCGTGGCCAAAACCGCCGTGGCCCCCATCGAGCGCATCAAGCTGCTGCTGCAGGTGCAGCACGTGAGCCCGCAGATCGCGGCGGAGCAGCGCTACAAGGGCATCGCCGACTGCTTCGTGCGCATCCTGCGCGAGCAGGGCGTGCGGTCCTTCTGGAGGGGCAACCTGGCCAACGTCATGTACTACTTCCCCTCGCAGGCCCTCAACTTCGCCTTCAAGGACAGGTACCGCGAGGTGTTCCTGGGGGGCGTGGACAAGGACACGCAGTTCTGGAGGTACTTTGCCGGCAACCTGGCCTCGGGCGGCGCGGCGGGGGCCACCTCGCTCTGCTTGGTCTACCCCCTGGACTTCGCCAGGACCCGCCTGGCGGCCGACGTGGGGAAGTCGGGCTCGGAGCGCGAGTTCAGGGGCCTGCGTCACTGCCTGCTGAAGATCGCGCGGTCCGACGGCGTCCCGGGCCTGTACCAGGGCTTCACCATCTCCGTGCAGAGCATCGTCCTCTACCGGGCCACCTACTTCGGCCTGTACGACACGGCCAAAGGCATGCTCCCCAACCCCAGGGACACCCCGATCGCGGTGAGCTGGGTGATCGCCCAGGCGGTGACGGCCACGGCGGGCTTGGTCTCCTACCCCTTCGACACGGTGAGGAGGCGGATGATGATGCAGTCGGGGCGCAAAGGCGCCGACGTCCTGTACAGGGGGACCGTGCACTGCTGGCGGAAGATCTTCAAGGACGAGGGGTGCAAGGCCTTCTACAAGGGCGCCTGGTCCAACGTCCTCAGGGGCATGGGCGGCGGCTTCGTGCTGGTTCTTTACGACGAGCTGAAGAAAGTCATCTAGGCGCGCCCCCCGCCGAGAGGCGGGGCGCTGGAGAGCCACCGAGCGCTTCACCCTTACGGACCATTGACCTTCCAGAAAGTCTGACGCCTTGGACCAGCCTGATCATGCGTAGCGGTCTGGGGAGGACTCTAGAATGGGGTTCATTGTGATCATGACAACTGGCACCCTGGTTCCAAGCATTGATTACGGGGGGAGGGGAATCCTGCTGTCTTCTGGTTCCGCCGGCAGGGCGGCGCCCTCACCCAGACCTAGAGCCCAGGCGTTTGTAAGACCACGCTGCGTTTAAGTATTTATGTAAAGAAACCCAGCTGTCCCACTTAAGCTTAATCACTATCCTCTCTTGCACATCTGATCACTTGTGATAACGTTCTATGTTGGGTATTTTGCCGCAAACAATAAAAACAGGACAGAAGGGGAAAAAAAAAGACTGGTTAAACTCCTTACGCTACCAAATGTTCAACAGGCCAGCAGTGGAGACCAAAGCTGAGACTCATTCAGCACGACCTGCCCAGGAGTCTCGGGAATTGGTCACACTGAACCTCTTTCTCTCTGGAAGAGAGAACATTTCAGTTTGATAATCAACACATGTTACTAGAATAAACTTGTACTTCCTTCCCACAGGGCCTCAGCCAGACCACTATTCCAGGGCTTACAGAGTGCTTGATTCATCAGTATGAGACACCATTTAACATCACTTCTAACAAGAGGCCTCTTTTTTAAAAAATGTGTTAATTTATCTTTATTGTTGAAAGTATTACAAATGTCTACTTTTTCCCCCATTGATCCCTTCCATCTTGCACCCTCCCCCCCCCAGGCCTTCACAACACTATTGTCAGTGTCCATGGGTTATACATATATGCATATACGTTCTTAGGTTAATTTCTCCTCACCCACCAACCCCTGCCTTCCCTCTGAGATTCCTCAGTCTGTTCCATGCTTCTATGTCTCTGGATCTATTTTGTTCATCAGTTTATTTTGTTCATTAGATTCCATACATGGGTAAGATCATGTGATATTTGTCTTTCTCTGACTGGCTTAGCATAATACTCTCTAGGTCTCACCAAGCTGTCTCAAAGGGCAAAGGATCCTTTGATTTTATAGCTGCATAGTATTCCATGGTGTAACTGTCCAAGAAGATGCTTGATATGATTTCAATCTTTTTGAACTTGTGGAGACTTGTTTTGTGTCCTAACATGTGGTTTATCTTTGAGCATGTCCCATGTGAACTTGAGAAGAATGCATATTCTGAAGCTTTGGGGTGACATGTTCTGTGATTGTCAATTAAATCCATCTAATCTAGTGTGCCACTGTTTAGAGTCACTGTTTCTTTGTTGATTTTTTTTTTTTTGTCTGGAAGATCCACCCAGTAAAGTCAATGGGGTATTAAAATCCTCTGCTATGACTCTATTGCTGTCCATCTTTCCATTAAAGTCCTCCATAAGTTTTTGGTGTGTTTTTTTTTCCAGCCTGTGTGAGTCTTTTGTTCTGAGGGGTGTCTCTTGTAGACAGCATATATTCGGGTCATTTTTTTTTTTTTTTATCCATTCAGCTACGCTATGTCTTTTGAATGGAACATTTACTCCATTTATATTTAAGGTTATTATTGATAAGTACTTATCTATTGCCATTTTATTTATTTATGCCTAATGCTTCTCTTTTTCTATATTTCAACTTCTTATTACAGCAGTACCTTTAGCATTTCTTGCAATGCTGGTATGGTGGTGATAAACTCCTTTAGCCTTTGTTTTTGTTGTTGTCTGGAAAGCTCTTTATTTCACCATCTATTTTGAATGATGGCCTTGCTGGATAGAGTAGTCTTGGTTTTAGATCCTTGCTTTTCATTAACTTGAATACTTCATGCCATTCCCTTCTGGCCTGTAGAGTTTCTGATGAGAAATCAGCTGACAGCCTTATGGGAGCTCCTTTATAGGTAACATATTGCTTTTCTCTTCCTGCCTTTAAGATTATCTGTCTTGAATTTTTGGCAGTTTAATTATAGAAAACACCTTTTATACTTTTCTGGGTGTGCAAATTAAAAAAGCCACTTTGGTGGAAATGTGGCAGCATATATTTATAATTTGTATGCAAAAGCCAGAAGTAAAATTAAAGAAAAAAAAACACACCTAGATTTCCACTAATGAGAGAATAACAATTATGGAAGTTAATTTTCTCAAGTAAATTATGAAAAGCTAACTCCCTACATGGCCAAATTGCCAAAAGTCAATCCACAGAATAATCAGTTTGCCAAATTTAAATTTTAAAAAGTATGTCTAAAGTTTACAATGATGTATATCGCAGAGACCTTTTTAAAGCAATTGGATAGTTAACAAAAATTTTTAAATGTTTTTATTAATTTTAGAGAAAGAGAGAGAAAGAGAGAGAAAGAGAAAAAAAATCTATATGAGACAAATATAGATCTGCTGCCTCCTATATGTACCTCAACCAGGGATTGAACCTATAACCTGGGTATATCCCCTGGTGAGGAATTGAACCTGTGACCTTTTGGTCATGGAACAAAGCTCAACCAACTGAGCCAAACTGGCCAGTGTGGATAGTTAAGAAATTTTTACTTTTTTTCTTAGGGCATTTTAAGGACTATCCAATTGTGGTTTAGCAACTTGCAACTGTAGCCTAAGGAGTTAGAACATAAAGTGAGAACATGATTCCAGGGGAGCACTAATTCCTGTGCTTGACCCAAGAACCTACAAAAATTTCCTGGGAGGTTCCTGTGATAGGTAGAAAAATACTGCCCCCCACAAAAGATGACTATGTTCTAATCCCTGGAAATTTACATAAAGAACAGGAACTTGAAGGCGTGATTAAATGAATGATCTTGAATTCAGTGATCCCAAGGGTCCTTATAAGAGAGAGGCAGGAGTGTCAGGGTGAGAGAAGGAGATATGACATTAGAAGCAAAGGTTATGGTGACATGTTTTGAAGATGGAGAAAGGGGCCACAAGATAAAAGACTGCAGGCAGCCACTAGAAGCTGGAGAAGGCCAAAAAAAAAAAAAAGGATTCTCCACTAGAAACTTCAGAAGGAGTGCAGCCCTCTTGACACCTTGATTTTAGTTCCATAAGATATATTTTGAGCTTTTGATTTCCAGAACTGTAAGATAGTACATTTATTTTACATAAGCCGAAAAAATTTATTGCAATTTGTTATAGCAGCAGTAGGAACTAGTTCAGGTATCGACTTGTTGATAATTGCGGTGTTAAGTAAGCATGTGTATGTCCTGCCATCCCTCCTCCCTTCTTAATCTGAGTGAGGAGAAGGTAGAAACAGAAGCAGGGAAAAAATAAAACAACTAAGAAAAGGAAAACAAGAGCATGAAAAAGAAATGATATGGTCTGAATGTTTTTCTCCTACCAAGTGTCATGTTAGAATTTAATCTTCCATATGTTGGTATTTGGAGGTGGGGTTTTTGGGAGGTGATTAGGACATGAAGGTAGAACAGTTATGAATGGAGTCAGTGCCTTTATGAGACAGAAAACGCCCCACGCCTCTTCCTCTGTGTAACGATGCAGCAAGAAGTCTTCAACCCAGGAGAAGGCATTCATATGACCCTGCTGCCATCCTGACTTCACGCTTCCAGCCTCCAGGGCTATGAAGAATAATTTTCTGTTATCTATAAGCTACCTGGTTTATTTTATTTTTATTTTAGCAACACAAACTGACAGGAAAGAAAAAAAGAGATGTAATGTATGGATGGAGAGGAGAGGAGAAAGGAGAGAAGGGGAGGGAAGGGAAAATAAAATAAAAAAAGAAAAGAGAACAAACCATTTCCCCAGTACAGGTTCTTTACCCTGTATCATTCTTGAGCTGTGGAAAAACAGAAAATTTTGCTTCTACAACGTCTAGTCCTTTCAATGTAATATTATATACACACACATATAGTTTAATTGGAGAATGAATTAGGAGGTAATGAATAAAAGATTTTCACATTTTACTTCATAGAAGTAACTTTTAAAATTAATTTAAATGTATCTTTTATTTTCAAATTACATCATTTACAGAAATATCTATTTAGAAATAGATGCGATACTGTTGTAATTTACCTAGTTGTTAATAACAGAAAAGGAGCAAACTGAGGGCCAAATATTATAGGCATCTCATTTACACAGCTTTGCCAGGAAGCTGCAACTTTACACTCCCCAGTTCAACAGAAGAGAGATAGAAATATGCCCAGTAAAGTTGGGGTGACATAAGAAAGGTGACTTGCATGTCAGTCACACCTGGGGACAGGTCATTGGCTAGAATAGGTGTGGCCACTGCAAGGGTGTGAAATCTGGGATACTTAGTTCTCTGAACAAAGAAACTCACCCTCTTGTTGTTCTTGTGCTCTGGGTTCCTCTTGGTGTGTTGCACATGACTCCTGGCCTGCAGGTCTCTCATGCTCTCTGCTCCCTCATATGCACCCACTTGGCCACAGCCATGTGGACCCCACACGCAAGGGACTAATGGACTGCTGCTGCCTGGTGCTGGACTGGACCTGGCTGCAACATGGAACGGGAACTCTGGACGCTAGATTTGCTTCTACGCTTCTATTCAATAACTGGACTAAGGCTCATGGGACTTTGGAAACAGAAGGATGTAATTGCACACAAGTAAACACTGCTCGTCTTCCCATGCGAGTCTCAGAAAATTTTTTCTCGAAATATTGTAAGGACACTCACTACCCCCCAGCCCTCAGTAGGGAAAGGGATACCTCAACTTCCCCGATAACAGAAGTAAACATTGGTGATGTAAAAGAAAAGGTGTTCTATTTTCCATTTTAATTTTCATGGGACAGAAAAAAAGTGTCTATAAGAGGCAAGATGTGAGACAGGTGAATAATTTAGTTGAAGCAAGAAATGAGCACTTCAAATTTTAAAAAATAATAACATTCCTGATTTTCCCTGGTAATTCTGATGTAAGTATGCTTAAGGGTGATGTGTTTCCAACCACTGAAGGAACGGTAATTTAAGTCATTATATTTAGATATCCTGGGACAAAGATGA